TGTTGACAAATATCACTAGTGTTGTAGTCAAGACCGCCCAAACCCAGACAGAGATAAGACCAAGACTTTTAGGGGCTGAGACCGAGTAGTGACCAAGGCTGAGGGACCGAGTCAAGACCAAGACCAGTTTCCCACATTACATGACACACAATAAGACATGGAACGAGATCATAGGTACTTCTCAAATTGATCTGAAAGATCCATTTTCCCATTAAAACACCCACATACAAACAATCGCCATCGCAGGGAAGGTTACTTTTGTTAACAGGAATTTTTAATTAGGGTTATTATTGGTTTCATTTGAAGCAATACGTTTTACATCCAATCAAAATTAGGATGTTAACGAATAAATCAGACGATGCACAAGCAATTTATTGATATTCCCAAAGTTATGGTCTTGACTGGTCTTGACATAAAATCCTGAGTCCTCAATGTCCGAGACCGAGATGACACCGAGTACAAATAACCGCATGGTCATGGTCACTGGTCGTTGCGCCACCACAAAAACAAGGTCCAGGGACTTCAATAAGTGAATCTGAATGAGTATCAGGAGCACAGTGCAATCTAGGACGACCAAACATTTCACAATACTACTTTCACTACTGTCAACTTTCATCTGAGAACGTCATAAAACTGCATGGTCTATAATTATCTTAAAGCAAACAGATAATGAACAAATGAGCAATGAGCACCTTCATTACTACGTAAATCTAATAATTGTACTAAGATTAGATTAACACCGATATTTAAGAATCTGCCTCTCTGGTGTTCTTGTTTTTCAGCTCTGTGGTCATGACAGGGTGGAGGAAAGTGTTAAGAGGAGTACATTAAGCTACTGACAGTGAGTAATAAGAAATCACACAGATCGACTGGGATGCATTGTCACCATTCCCAACAAGCTCTGCATTAGACTCGCTACACAAGACTTGGATTGAACTGCGTCTGCGTTCAGTGCCAGACCGTTTTCACACTGAAGTCTGCCAGGAATGAGGCTTGTTTTTTTTTCCAAGGGAGAAATCTCTCTCTGCCTCTCTTCCTCCCTCTCTCTCACAGAGAGCTAATTATTTCTCCCCCCGTTTAGAGCCAACTGTTTCTGTCATCTGTCTCTGTAATGACCTCTGCAAGATGTGAATGCATGCACACACACAGACAAACAAACACACTCACAGCACAAAACCTTCAACAGTCACACACACGCTTTTGCAGAGAAACCATACATATACACACACAAAACATGGATGCACATGTAACAATTCTACCTATTATTTAGGATGCCACTAGCTTGAGTGCATTTGATAAATGGGGGCAAGACTGAGGCTGTCTCTCCTGAGCTTTAAAAGGTGGTCCCAAATAGTGCCGAAACATAGCTGATAATTGATTGATTAATCATTGACACATCTGGGGCAATTCATTCACAAGGATTTTTATAATTGAATAATACTCACACAATTAGTTGTGTCAATTAATTGGGACCAGTGTTTTCTGATATTTTATAGAGCAAACAATCCAGCTTCTCAAATGTGAGGATTTGCTGCTTTTCTCTCATTTATATTATCCCTATACAGTGAGGGAAAAAAATGATTTGCTCCCCTGCTGATTTTCTACGTTTGCCCACTGAAAAAGAAATTATCAGTCAATAATTTTAGTGGTAGGTTTATTTGAACAGTGGGAGACAGAATAACAACAAAAAAAATCCAGATAAATGCCTGTCAAAAATGTTATAAATTAATTTGCATTTTAGTGAGTGAAATAAGTATTTGACCCCCTCTCAATCAGAAAGCTCTCCGTCTCCCAGGTTTCTTTTATACAGGTAACGAGCTGAGATTAGGAGCACACTCTTAAAGGGAGTGCTGCTAATCACGTTTGTTACCTCTATAAAAGACACCTGCCCACAGAAGCAAGCAAATCAGATTCCAAACTCTCCACCAAGGCCAAGACCAAAGAGCTGTCCAAGGAGGTCATTGATAAAGATTGTAGACCTACACAAAGCAGCTTGGTGAGAAGGTGACAACAGTTGGTGCGATTTTTCGCAAATGGAAGAAACACAAAAGAACTGTCACTCTCCCTCTGTCTGGGGCTCCATGCAAGATCTCACCTTGTGGAGTTGCAATGATCATGAGAACAGTGAGGAATCAGCCCAGAACTACACGGGAGGACCTGGTCAATGACCTGAAGAGAGCTGGGACCACAGTCTCAAAGAAAACCATTAGTAACACACTACGCCGTCATAGATTAAAATCCTCCAGCGCCCGCAAGGTCCCCCTGCTCAAGAAAGCACATGTACAGGCCCGTCTGAAGTTTTCCAATGAACATCTGAATGATTCAGAGGAGGACTGGGTCAAAGTGTTGTGGTCAGATGAGCTCTTTAGCATCAACTCAACTCGCCGTGTTTGGAGAAGGAGGAACGCTGCCTATAACCCCAAAAATACCATCCCCACCGTCAAACATGGAGGTGGAAACATGATGCTTTGGGGGTGTTTTTATGCTAAGGGGACAGGACTACTTCACCGCAACAAAGGGACGATGGACGAGGCCATGTACCGTCAAATCTTGGGGGGGGACCTCCTTCGCTCAGCCAGGGCATTGAAAATGGGTCGTGGATGGGTAATCCAGCAGGACAATGACCCAAAACACACAGCCAAGGCAACAATGGAATGGCTCGAGAAGAAGCATATTAAGGACTTGGAGAGACCTTAATCCCATAGAAAATCTGTGGAGGAAGCTGAAGGTTCAAGTTGCCAGACGTCGTCCTCAAAACTATAATGACTTAAGAGAAGATCTGCAAAGAGGAGTGGGACAGCATCCCTCCTGAGATATGTGCAAACCTGGTGGCCAACTACAAGAAACATCTGACCTCTGTGACTGCCAACAATGGTTTTTCCACCAAGTACTAAGTCATGTTGTGCAGAGGGGTCAAATATTTATTTCACTTATTAAAATGCAAATCAATTTATAACATGTTTGACATGCATTTTTCAGATTTCAGAGTTATTCTGTCTCTCACTGTTCAAATAAACCTACCACTAAAATTATAGACTGATAATTTCTTTGTCATTGGGCAAACGGACAAAATCAGCAGGGGATCAAATAATTTTTCCCCCCACTGTACATCAAATAAATATTGGGGTTTGGACTGTTGTTTGGACAAATTAAACAAACTGAGGAAATTTTGATAGGCACTGTTTTACTATATTCTAACATTTTGTAATAAATAAGTTTTTTAGAGCTGCAACTAAGAATTATTTTCATTTTTAATAATTCCGTTGAATCTCTCTTTTCGAATTGTAAGGAAAAAGCATTAAAGTAAACACCAATCACGACTTTCCAAATTCCAAGGTTATGTCTTTTCATCCTGCTTGTAAAGTTCAAGTAATATATTCAATTAACAGTAATAAAAAGCAGGACGTGTTAAGATTTAAGTGGCTGCCAGCATCAAATATTTAACATTTCTTCATTAACTGATTATCAAAACTGTCGGAAATTATTTTTCTAATAATTGTTTCAGCGCTAAATGAACCAACTAAAATCAAAAGTAATACTGTCAGATTAAATCGATAATGAAAATATCTAAACCTATTCCCAAGCCTTGAATCCAAAGCACACAAACACACACACTCCTCAATAGGACGAAAACAATCAGGCTACATCAAATCAACAAATTTAACAAAAATACAACATATGTATAATTTTCCTACCTAAAGAAAAGGAACTAAACACAACCAAATAAGCGTGCAGTTAATGGCAACCTTGGCTTTACTTTAGGATTGACAATTAAAAGTAAGATTGCAAAAATACATTTAATAAGCTACAGATTAGCAGCAATGCAAGGTTATAAAAAGTGTCTATTTGTGAATAATACACTTATCAGTTATGTTCTTTAAATACTATGCTGCCTCTCATAAAACTTTTTCGTATTGAGGTAACAAAAATGGGCCTTATGTTTGCAATTACTTAAGTCCTTGAGGTCCTATGCAGATTTTTCTATGAACCTTAGATCTACGGTATGAAGGATTCCTTCCTTGTTTATGCCCACACAACCCGAGAAAACCAAAGTTCCTTTACAGAATCTTGATCTTCTTTGCAGCTGTAACCGCTTTATATCATTGGGAGGACTAAGCTTTATTACATATGATTACAACAACACCATACAGCTCACCATTTCTGCATTCGCATCCTGATGAATCTTGTGACCAAAGTCACAACAGCTAGATCTTTGGTTGAGGTCTTAGGTTTTAGGCAAAAATTACAGCGTTGAACTGCTCCAAACCTCCAACAACTCAGTGATGATCAGGAGTCCTTTTATTGTCCTCCCCCATATCATGCTCTCTTCCAGAAACTTAAGAATCATCTTGGACTCTTATTGGAATTTTAAAACCGAACTAAAATGCAATGCAAGGATGCAAGTTTTTTTTGGACATGCTGTTAACATTTAAAAGATATTTTAAAACAAGTCAGTCTACCTTTGAACCGGAGAAAGATAGTTGTGACTTTTATCTTGTCTCAATTACTCTAACACATTTCTGTGCTACATGGTATACTGCTGTGTAAGAGAATCTGCAATTCATTAAAAATGCAGCTTTATATTTCCTCTACATAACCCCTATTTTGGCTCACTTTTCCAAGATGTTTCCAAGAAGACCAAGATAACATTAGTTGAAAGCAAAATAAAAACTGTAAGAAAACTCCATCCACTAAGGAAGACTGTGAGATGATGCAGAATGCTCAGGAAAAGACTAGTAAGTGGATCTTTAATTAGGGTCCAAGCACCTAGTGATGTGGAGTGGTGCATCAGGCATCTGTCTAGAAAAAAGGGGCCATGCAATAGACAGCAGGATATATGCACAACGCTTTGCTCCTATTATTATCAAAAGACATAAACATTTTGTCAATGCATGGGGACACAAACAACTACTATGAACCAAATGAGTAGACATCCTGTAGACAACTACATTTCAATCTGGCTTTCAGTGGTATGTCAAAAACTGTTTATCTTAACTTACCTGGTTGTCAAATTTCAGTGACTGTGTGCCCACAAGGAAACGAATGGCATCAGTTTCAGCTGTCTGGGCAGTGAGTGCTCGAGCCTTTCAAGTAAACAGAACAACCATTCACATAAACACGTTTTCAGGAATATAATACAATATGGAAATAAATAACTCATATAGTGATGAATTCCTCTGTGCACACTAACAGAGCGACATAGACTAGGATAGCTATGAACTATGAGACAAATAGAATATCGCTATTCAGGTAAATAATAATAAATGGTGTGACAGCAGCCATGTGTACCTGAAATTCGAGACCATAAATGACAGGAGCGTCATCCTCCATTTTTCAGACTGTTGCCAGAGTTTGCGCTTTCAAATCTTATATTTAAAAAAACGTCGTCTCAGGATGAAAACACTTCAAAACATTACAACTGTGCTACGTACTGTACTGTTGCTGCACTTCCGCGATTTAAAAAAACTGTATGAATGAAGCGTGCGACTAAAACACGTAACGACTGTCTAGCAACGTTGTATTGTCCTTCAAAAGTACGTAGAAGACGTGAAGAATACCAAAAACTGCGGCGACATGAAGTTTGTCACCTCTGGAATACCGTATGTGTAGCTTTCTGGTGGAGTTGCGCATGCGCACCAGGATTCGAGCTGTCACTGCAGTAAGGTAAGAAAACACAATCGTGTTTGTGTTTCAGTTTTTATTTGTTGTCTGTCATTGCGCAGTGATGTGGATATAGTAGTATAGTGTGTGCTTTTTAAAACGTGCACAGCTATTAGGGAGGCGTTTTACATTTGCAACGAGCTGCTCAGCTAAGTTAGCTTACGATAGCCAACCGGCTAACGTTAATGTAGCATTAGCAAGAAAGTCAGTACCAAACAGTCCTCTGATATCCCGGGTAAACGGCTCTTTCGTGACTTTAAGTTTGAATATAGCACGAGAAACGGACTCGTTCTATGTAAAGTTAACTTAGCAGTGCTGACGATAAGAGCTTGTAAGAAATAGCGTTTGCTTTCAATGACAGGAAGTGACCGGATGCTGTAACGGTGCAGTGTTGTACGTTAAGTTACAAGTTACTGGTCAGTCACTGTGTATTACACTAAAACCTATTACTGTGTGTAATTGTCAAGAGCAGTAAGATGGATAGTGGGGAGGCTCCTGCTCAGAGGCCAGTCAGCTTAGACATCACAGTGGAAGATGTAACCGTGGAAGCCCCAGACCCTCTGGAGCCAACCACTAGCCAGACCCCTTCCAGAGACAACGTCATTGTCCAGGAAGACAGCATCGACCTGGGCGGAGAGTTTGCCACTCCCCAGGAGGTCAGCAGTGCCACACCTTCAGAGAGTCTGATGGACAAGCTCAATGACCAGATGATGGAGAGTGTCATGATTTCTGACTCACCTAATAATAGTGAGGAGGACGATGTAGCTCCCATTGACTCCTTTCTGGATGGAGTGGGGGAGGAGGAGGATCCACAAGAGACCTCAGGTGACCAAGAACAAAGTGAACTTGGACAGAATACAACTGAGATTAAAATTTCAGTGGAGGAACAGGAGAAAGGTGGTTCTGAGGAGAAAACAGAAGAGGACACCAAGAAGCAAACAGACACACATGAGCAAGTCACAGCTTGTGTTTCACCTCAGAGCCCATCTGATCTCAAAAGCGAGGACCCTGCACCGCAAGAAGCTATGGGGACAAGCCCAAAAGACGAGCTTGTGCCGGTGTGCACCATATTCAGCCAGGGCACCCAACCGAAGTCTCTGGTGCCTGATGGCTTCCAGCCCACCCTTATCAAGTCCCCCAGCTTTAGCATGGGGAGTGGTGGGGGAAGCGTTGAGGCAGTGACACCCAGCAAACTGACGGCCCCCTTTGTGTGTCAACCCAGCCCCAGCCTCAGTAAGTTCTTCACTGACAACGGACAGGTCAATCCAGCCTCTGACTTTTTTGATTCCTTTACTGGACCCTCTTCCTTCATCTCTGTTTCAAACCCAAATGCTGATATCCCTCCTGGCGCCAGCACGGCGCCCATAGCCCCTACCCCTGAACGCCAGCTCTCTTCCACGTCCTCCTCCATCTCTACCCCAGGAGGACTTCTGGACTCTGGTGCTCCCACCCCTAACTCAGTTTTTGGCCCTGTCCCCACTGAATCCACGAGCAAGCCCCAACCTCCTACCCCCCTAGCTGTTCCAGCTACAGCTCAAGCTCCCACCCCAGTCACTCAGCCGCAGCCCTTCAACCATCTCCAGGCTGTGTTCCTGGGCAACGATGACCCGTTTGCGACAGCGCTGAGCCTGAGTGAGGTAGACAGGCGCCATGATGCCTGGCTGCCATCTGAGGAGACCAGGAAGGTGTTGATCTCTGTGGCCACCCAGCAGTACAGCCCGGCCTACGTAGAGACCAACAGACTCACCATGCCTGGACTCAAGTTTGACAACCTGCAGGTAGGCACTTCGGCAGTCAAATGCTGATTATACAACAAGCAGTTTCCCCATTTACAGGTTAAAGTATGTCATAAATAGCAAAAGATGTTGCATTTTTTTTTAAAAAAGGGCACTCTAACGATGTTACAGTTGAAGTTCACTTTACTCATCATGGGAAGTTCTAGTGCCTGTGAAACAGTTCCTCTATGACTCTGGAGAGAGGTCTTCAAAAAATACCTCTGGCTCTGACAGATAACCCTGATCTAAAGATGATGTCATCTAATGATGCAAAATTTCATTTTGACCATTTCTTCATTTTTTTCAAAGCTCCCAACTCTGTAAAATAAATCACTGTGGTACTTTACATAATGAAAACACACGCCACTAAAACAAGGCTTATTGTTAGTCATGAATTATATGTAATTAAACTATGATTTTGATTCGTTTATATGCAGTTGTGTTAAATAAATAAAAAAGCAAAAACATTCTCTCCCAAGGTGACATTTGAAACAGGAATTACTATCATTGATATTTTAGGATGCAGCTAATAATTCTTTTTAGTAAGGATTAATCTGCTTATTATTTATTCAATTCATTGATTTAAAAAAAAATGTCAAAATGTCTTTTAATGTCTGTTTAATTTGAATTTTTTAAAAACAAAGATATAGCACATCTTTTCCCTACATAACATGGCAAGATATTATAACATGTTTAAACATTTTAACTTTCTCCTGCTCTGGCACAATACAAAGTATGGACACAGTTGTCACTTGTATATTAGCAAACATTACTTGCGCCCTTTCTTGCTCCTAGGTCACCATATGATATTTCTTTTCTTATAAACATCCTCTGAGCTCCTTCAGCAGGAGCATTTATTGTAATAACAATCCTGATGAAACATCATTTTACTTATTTTTTTCAATTGAATCTTACGGTGTGCGTCCACCTCCCAGCTCAGATTGTGTTCATTATCCCCTCAGAATGTGTTTGCATGCTTGCTTGAATAAATGAATAAAAATCAAGGATTTTCCCCGTCATGTGTTTTTTGCCCTCTAAGAGCCAATTTTCAGCAAACAAATTAAATCCACTCTAAAGCTGGATTAAAGATAGTATTTTCTGCAATCTGTTTTTTGTTCAATTCCTGTTTGGGTTGGATATTGTTTTATTGATTGTAATTCTGTCCAAATGTAGGGATGACCAGATCAAGGTTTTTTGCCTCCAACCCACTTCATTTAATGTTGACTAACTACCAATAATAACAAATCCTGTTCTGGTATTTTTTAAATCCTGCACTTAGTAGACAGGTCTGAGTGTAAATGCCATCATGACAGCTCTCGGGTCTCTTGCTCATACAGTGTGTTCCTTTGCGTGATGTTAAATTTATGTGTGTGTTTTGCTGCAGGGCGATGCTGTAAAAGACCTAATGCTTCGTTTCTTGGGAGAACAGGCAGCCATGGGGCGTCAGGTCCTTACCGCCAACTCTGTGGAACAGTCCTTCACAGGCCTGAAACAGCTCATTGTAAGTCACTCACTTTCTTTTTGTATGACTGATTTGTCCATGGTCAGTTGTGATTCATTCACTGTGCAATGCATTTCTGACATATAAAAAAATACAACACGAAACCAGCACCTTTACTTTCGTAGTATTACTCATCGTTATTGTAGCTCTTTTTTCATAATTTATTTTGCCTTTACATGATTTGCATGCAGTTGGAACAGCCTCTCAGCTTAAAAGTTCATTGTCGACCCTGGAAATAGCTGACAAAACAATCTCCCCTCAAGGTCCACTTACGCACTTCTGCCTGAGCTTTGACTTCATCACATGGTCTTCATCAGCAGATGGGTTTGGCTTTTTAGTTGCCATGTTCAACGTTTGCATTATTCTCAACATCTACTGTTCTGTTACAACTGAGCTGTCTTCTTCCTCCCAATGAAGACTGTTCAGCCTAAAAAACTCTAGACCAAGTGAGTAATTGAACATTGCTTTAATTTGTTACCCATGTGTACATTCCCCACCAAAGGCAGGCACAGCAGCACAGTGCACTCCCTGTTTCTTTTTCTATGCACTGCTAAAATGCTCTCATGTGAAAACCGTTAAACTACTTCTGAAACACTGGCAATGGTTTCTCTACTGCCATCCAGTGTGATTGCCATCTTGGCTACTTAGCAGCCATCAAAAAGAGATTCTCTGCAGTTGTTTAATAATTTTATATTAATTAACTATTACCAGGACACAGGCTTCTGAGGAGCCGTTGTGAAGCTCAATCAACATGGGAGGCTCCGACCATCGCCGTGTAGTGGGTGGCTGCTCTGCAGAGGCTTTGACAAATGTTGTATTTCTTATGATTCTAAATTAGGTTTATTGATAAAAAAGCATGAATAATTAGAGCTGAACCTAGGGATTGGTATCGGGAGAAGTAGTGTTTTGTCCTGTGAGTGTTGCAGAGCTGCTCTCCTTATTGTCTGGCAGGCTATTCTGCCAGCATTTCACTGCAAAAGATAGTGAAGAATAAAATAATAATGTGTGGCTGTGAAAAAACATTTGTTTGCACCAGTGAGTGACTCTGTACGGACACCTGAGTTGACAAAATTTGCTAAGCTCCTCCGTTATTTATCCTCTGTCTTTCTCATTAGCAAACATCAGTGTTGAAAACATTCAGCTAGCAACTTCTTTCTTTGAGCTGGCGCGGACCATCGCTTTCAGTGATTAAAATACATATGAGAGGTCACTATAATTGACTTAAGTATGTTGACGGCAGGCCAAAACGAAACTTGTCTGTGGTCTGGTTAAAGCCACAGAGTGGAGTGTATTTCCAACAACAGAAACATTTACAGTGGGGAGAACAAGTATTTGATACACTGCTGATTTTGCAGGTTTTCCTACTTACAAAGCATGTAGAGGTCTGTCATTTTTAATCATAGGTGCACTTCAACTGTGAGAGACGGAATCTAAAACAAAAATCCAGAAAATCACATTGTATGATTTTTAAATAATTAATTTGAATTTTATTGCATGACATGACAAGTATTTGATACCTCAGAAAAGCAGAACTTAATATTTGGTACAGAAACCTTTGTTTTCAATCACAGAGATCATACGTTTCCTGTAGTTCTTGACCAGGTTTGCACACACTGCAGCAGGGATTTTGGCCCACTCCTCCATACAGACCTTCTCCAGATCCTTCAGGTTTCGGGGCTGTCGCTGGACAATACGGACTTTCAGCCCTCTCCAAAGATTTTCTATTGGGTTCTGGTCTGGAGACTGGCTAGGACCTCCAGGACCTTGAGATGCTTCTTACGGAGCCACTCCTTAGTGGCCCTGGCTGTGTGTTTCGGGTCGTTGTCATGCTGGAAGACCCAGCCACGACCCATCTTCAATGCTCTTACTGAGGGAAGGAGGTTGTCGGCCAAGATCTTGCGATACATGGCCCCATCCATCCTCCCCTCAATACGGTGCAGTCGTCCTGTCCCCTTTGCAGAAAAGCATCCCCAAAGAATGATGTTTCCACCTCCATGCTTCACGGTTAGGATGGTGTTCTTGGGGTTGTACTCATCCTTCTCCCTCCAAACACGGCGAGTGGAGTTTAGATCATAAAGCTCTATTTTTGTTTCATCACACCACATGACCTTCTCCCATTCCTCCTCTGGATCATCCAGATGGTCACTGGCAAACTTCAGACGGGCCTGGACATGCACTGGCTTGAGCAGGGGGACCTTGCGTGCAGGATTTTAATCCATGACGGTGTCAGTAGTAGTGTGTTACTAATGGTTTTCTTCTTCATCTTGAACTTCTTCCATTTTCTAATAATTGCGCCAACAGTTGTTGCCTTCTCACCAAGCTGCTTGCCTGTTGTCCTGTAGGCCATCCCAGCTTTGTGCAGGTCTACAATTTTATCCCTGATGTCCTTACACAGCTCTCTGGTCTTGGCCATTGTGGAGAGGTTGGAGTCTGTTTGAGTGTGTGGACCGGTGTCTTTTCTACAGGTAACGAGTTCAAACAGGTGCAGTTAATACAGGTAATGAGTGGAGAACAGGAGGGCTTCTTAAAGAAGAACTAACAGGTCTGTGAGAGCCAGAATTCTTACTGGTTGGTTGGTGATCAAATACTTATGTCATGCAATAAAATGCAAATTAATTATTTAAAAATCATACAATGTGATTTTCTGGATTCCGTCTCTCACAGTTGAAGTGTACCTATGATAAAAATTACAGACCTCTACATGCTTTGTAAGTGGGAAAACCTGCAAAATCAGCAGTGTATCAAATAATTGTTCTCCCCACTGTATTTATTTATTACGTTATATAGCTACTTTGTTTTCTAACGAGTTAGGTTATCACAGCTGGAGCCTACCTCTGCTGTGTTACCAGCTGAGCCTTCCCTTTAATAAAAGTGGCCTTGTGGGTAACCTGTGTGTGTGCCACAGACTTGCAGGTTTGTTGTGGGAAGAGATTAGTTAAGTTACTTCAGTCAGCCCTAAAAAGTCCCTGTTGATGTTGTTACAGCATCCTCCTAAATTATTTGCAGCAGCAGAGTTGTGTGTGAATACATTTCCAGCAGAAACCCTGAGCTAGCTAGATAACCATTGTGACAATGGACAACGAGGGTCAGTCAAAGTATTGCAGTGCAGTTACTGATGGTCATTACAAGCCGCCACATGTGCAGAGACGATGCAGTATTGTTTTGATAAAAGGTAGAAACCGCTAGCACACAGGGTGATGAAATAAAGAAGGTGTTTCATATGGAGTGAAGTCTTGCGGCAGGCTACTCAACAACTAAAAGTGTAACAGCTTAAAGCAGCTCCAGCTTTTGATTCAATCCCTTTCTGATTACTCGCAGTACGGCAGGTGCTTTCTGGCAACATTATCCCAATTTCTGGAGGTAAATGACAAAACCACCGATGGGTTACCACAGCGTAACATCCTGTGGTTTCTGCAGCTTGCCTGACCTTTTGACAGTCAGCCTGTACAGTCATTGATTGTACCTAAACTGCTGGCTGGTCAGGCCTCAGCTGACTGAAAATAGTGAATCATTCGTCTCCTTTCTCTTCACATTACTTTCCTCTGCTATTTTTCTGCCAAGCATAAAAATGTGTCTTTCTTTGTGACCGTGAAGTCTCAGCTCATTCGTTTTCTGTCTCTCCAGCCCTTGTGTTTTCCCTCCATCATAATTTCTGACCCACAGACGACCCTGAGAGACAGTTGTTATTTAAAACATATGCACAGCAGCAGCAGACAGTTAGATGGAGGGAAGGGAAAGGGGAGGAGGGGAGGGGTGGAGTGGAGAGATGGAGAGGTGGAGATCCACTCGGCTCACAAGTTCTTTTCTCCTGCTGTGCCCATGTATTATGCATGGGACTGCTGTGCATATTTCAAGGGCCTTCTGGACTCGGTGTATATATAAACACACATACACAAGATGGTACTTTCAGCTTGCAGTCAACTGCACTATATAGCGTAGGTGAGTATGTGTAAGAGGATCATACGCTGTCTGCCAATTGGTGTGGGTGGCTCCCCGGAGCAAGAGGCAAAAGAAAGGAGAGAGACAGTGAGCCAGAAAGGTAACGTAGGCCTACAGGAGAGATGTCAAGGAATGACATCTTCTATTTTCACATTCACATAAGAGATCTTCTATTTTATTCTTAATAACATTCCAAATGTCTGGAAAGTCTTAGATTTTGCCTTGATGAATATTTAGCCACCATGACCACCTCATATTGCAAATTAGCACATGATTTCTTCAGGCCCTCAACACAGAGGCATCACCAAAAACTTTTATAAAACTAGGAAACCCCATAAAATTTGGTACTTGTATTCCTTGAAAGTAAATTCTCTTTTCACTTGCTCAGCTACAGATAAGCTCTGTTGCTGATGCTTGAGATTCAGTTTCTTGTTCAACAACACTTAAATAAGGCTGATAATTGCTGACACAGAGACGTGAACCCAAGGCCTCCAGCTGAAGGACAACATCTCTACTCACTGATCACCCACTGTGGAGCCAACAAATCCTGCTCACTAATAAGGAGCCCGGTTTGGTCTTGATCAGAGCAGCCCCCGTGTGGCGGCTTTGCTGACATAATAATCATTGACTGAGTCACTCCCACTGATGAATGGATCAGACACCATCTGCCTTCTCCATCCACTAGCACCTACTTGCATTCAAATGATTTGCTTACCAATAAATTATGAAATTTCCAAACTTCTAAGATCAGACAAACTCTTAGATCAAAGCTGTCGTAGGTGATGTAGCTCGCTAAGCTGGGAGGGGAGGTTGAAATTGAGAACATTTCATGCAGCACATACACACACACACATGGAAGTGGAAATGTCAGTAAGCATGTGCAATGAAAGTGTAGCATGGTGCAGCTAGATGTTTGTCTAGACATCTGATCAGTCGCATAGAATTTTGAACAGCTGATTCTTTATTCAGAATCAGCTTTCTCTTGCATGCGTGCATTGCGTGTGTGCGTTGTGTAGAGCTCTCCTATGAGCTGGCAGAATGAGTCATGCTGCAGAGCCGGA